TCAGAACTGTGGCCAGTTGGGCTTCAGGTGTCTCCAAGGATGGAGACTCCACAACCACTCTGGGAAACCTGTTCCAGTGTTTAATCACCCATAGAGTAAAAAAGTTTCTTCTTATGTTTGAACGGAATTTCTTGTATTTCAGTTTGTGCCTATTGCCTCTTGTCCTTTTCCTCGGCACCACTGAGAAGAGTGTGGCTCCATCTTCTTTACTTCCCCCATCAGGTATTGATAAACGTTGATAAGTTACACCTGAGCCTTCTATTCTCTAGGCTGAACAGCCCCAGCTCTCTCAGCTTCTTCTCTTACAACAGATGCTCCAGTCTGGTAATTGTCTTCATGGTCCTTTTCTGCACTCACTCTAGTATGTCCATGTCTCTCTCATACTGGCGAGCCCAGCGCTGGACCCAGCACTCCAGATATGTATCACCAGTGCTGAGTAGAGGAAGGATCACCTCCCTGGACCTGCTGGTGATGCAGACAAGGATATTGCTGGCCTTTTTTGTCACAAGGGCGCATTGCTGGCTCATGTTTAACCTGCTGCCCACCAAGACCCCCAGGTCCTTCTCTGTAAAGCTGCTTTCCAGCCAGTCAGCCCCCAAGCCTTTTCTGGTGCATGGGATTATTCCTCCGCAGGTGCAGGATTTGGCATTTCCCTGTGCGGAACTTCTTGAGGTTTCTGTGGGCCATTTCTCCAGCCCAGGTCCCTCTGAACGATAGCACAGACCTCTGGTGTTTTAGCCACTCCTCCCAGTTTTGTATCATCTACAAGCTTGCAGAGGGTGCACTCTACCCATCATTCAGTTCAGTAATTAAGGTGTTACACAATATTGTCCCCAGTATTGACCCCTGGGGTAGACCACTATTGAGTGGCCTCCAACTGGACTTCATGTCACTGATCACAACACCATGACCCCAGCAGTTCTGCCAGCTTTCAATTCACCTCACTGTCCATTTATTTAGCCTGTACTTCATCAGCTTGTCTGTGAGAATATTATGAGAGACTGCCAAAGGCCTTACTGAAGTGAAGATAAACAACATCCAGAAGCAGATGAGTGAGAAGCTCCACTCATCCACCAAGCCAGTCACATCCTTGTAGAAGGCTAACAGGTTTGTCAGACATGATTCTCCCTTTGTAAATCCATGTTGACTATTCCCAAGCACGTTCCTGTCCTTGAGATGTTTGGAAATGGTTTCCAAGATTATTTGCTCCATCACTTTCCCACCAGTGTGTAGTTCCCTGGATTCTCTTTCTTGCCATTCTTGAAGATAGGAGTGACATTTGCTTTCAAGTCCTCAGAAATCTTCCCTGAACACCATGACCTTTCAAAGATAACTGAGAGCAGCTTTGCATTGACATCATTGAGCCTCCTCAGTACTCATGGGTGCATCCCATCAGGTCCCATGGACTTGTGTATCTCCTGTCTGTTTAAACGTTCCCTAACCTGATCCTCCTCCAGCAACGGTAAGTCTTTCTTGCCCCAGATTTTCCCCCTGGTCTCCATTGAAGACCAAGGCAAAGAAGGCATTGAGTACTTTGGCCATGTATTTTGCCACCACTACTGCCTCATTCAGTAGTGTGCCCATATTTTTCCTAATCTCTCTTTTGCTGCTGATACACCCATAGAAGCCCTTCTTGTTGCCCTTCGCAGCCCTTGCTGAATTGAACTCCAGGTGGGCTTTGGCTTTCCCTGCATGCTCATATAATTTCTCTATTTTCCTCCCTGGTGACTTGCCCCTGATTGCACTTCTTGTACAATTCCTTTTTATGTCTGAGTTATATCAGGAACTCCGTGTTCATCCATGCAGGCCTCCTGCTGCCTTTGCTTGATTTCCTGCTCGTTGGGATGAACGGTTCTTAAGTTTGGAGGAGGTGATCCTTGAAGATCAACCAGCTCTCCTGGACCCCAGAGCTTTCCAGGACTGTATCCCATGGGATTCTTCCAAGCAAATCGCTGAATAGGACAAAGTCTCCTTTCCTGAAGTCTGGGGTTGGGATCCTGCTTTTTTCCCTGCTCTCTCCTCTCCAGATCCTGAACTCCACCGTCTCATTATCAGGGACAAGGATGTCCCTGACCTTCACATCCCTGACCAATCCTTCCTTGTTTGTAAGTATGAGGTCCAGCAGAGCTCTTCTCCTTGTCAGCTCCTTAATCACCCGTGTTAGGAAGTTGTTGTTAATGCACTGCAGAACCCTCCTGGATTACTTGTGCCCTGCTGTGTTGTCCCTCCAGCAGACACATTGTGCCTCCCCCGGATATTGGGGTAAAGTCCTTTACTTCAAAGTAGTAAAGTACTCCATGAGCATCCGGGCCTGTGAGTGCGAGACTTCTACCAGTTGTCTGAAGAAGCCTCATCTACTTTTTCCTGATCAGGCAGTCAGGAAACCTCAGCAGACACCCACCACAACATTGCCCATCTTGGTCTAGCCTCTAATACTGACATACAAACTCTCAGCTGGCTCCTCATCTTTCCCTAGGCAGAGCTCCATGCATTCTTGCTGCTTTCTCTCATAAAAAGCAACTCCCCTTTCTGCCATCTTACATGTCCTTCCTAAAAAGCCTGTATCCATCCACGGCAGCACTCCGTCCTTTGAGCTACCTTAGCACTTCTCTGTGATCCCAATGAGATCATTGCCCTGTGACTGCACACAAACCTCAAACTGTTTGTTCTCCATGCTGTGTTTGTTAGTGTACAGACACTTCAAAGATTTCTAAGCTTCCCAGAAAAGGGATGAGAGCTTTCCTTGTGCTGTCCTATGGGTACTTCCTTACTCATGTGCATACACTTGAAGTGGGCCTCATTTAGCCCTCTTATGTTGATTATGAGATTTCTCTTGTCCACATCACCCTGTTCACTTCACTTGTCTCATCAGTCCACTACTTCCTCACTTGATTGTTGGTCCTCATCTTGCTCCCCTGTTGCTCCTAATTTAAAGCTGTCATCACCAGTTGACTAGACTGTAGGCAAAAATGCTTTTGCCCTGATTAGTCAGGTGGATCCCATCTCTTCCAAGAAGTCCTTGATCATGAAAGACGCTCTCATGGTCATAAAAGCCAAATTCCTGTTATCGACACCAGATGCACAGCCAGTTGTTGACCTGCTGGATCCATCCAGCCCTCTTCAAGCGATTTCTCCTCACCATCAGGATTGAGAACACCACTTGGGCTCCATGCCCTTGACCATCGCCCCCTTCCAGGATCTTCCAGGATTAAACTGAAACTTGTTATTATTGTGAATATGATGGACAGCAGTTTTTAATGGATTTGCTCCTCATCATGGAAAAAGCCATTTCTACTGCTGACTACTCTTCTCTCTCGCTTATCCCCATGCAACAGATGAAATCAGGGTTAGAGTATGATACTCTATGAAAGAAGGGCAGCACAGCCTTTGGCTGATCTTATGCTTGCTATGCTAGCAGGGAAACTATAGTCCTGTTAGTCCTTCCAACCAGATCTGTCCCTGGAAGTCACGACTAAAGGCTAATGCTTTCCCAGGCCTATGGAAGAACGTTGTCCTAGTTCAAGACATGGCATGCTGTTTGTGTGGTATTTGCTTTTCCTCTAGAGAAAAAGAGTTACTGAAGCATTTTTTCTTACACTTGTGTGATATAAATAAATATTTTTGAATGCAGGAAGTTAACCTTTCCCTAACCTTTGGGAGCTGGTGTCCAAACTTCCTTGGGTTTGCCAGGGTAATCAGAAAGGCAAACAAGCTGATGGATGAGCTTTATTCATTGACCTGTCTGCATTCCTGCCTAGCTCTGCATTTTTACTGATAATGTATTTTGAGTCAGCAGATTTATACAGTTCACACTTCATTATCCAACAAGCATAGAATACTCAGAAGTGATCTTAAGTAGTGCAGATCTTTCTGCAATTTCTGGGTTATTCCTGGATGGGTCATAAAGCTTTAAAATGCAGTGAAAGTTAATCAGCATAGATTTCTGCTAACAACTTAAGTAGTCCTTTGCTTATAAGCTAGCATGCAAAGAGGGGATGGCACATAGTGGGTTTCGACCTTCTCTCTTGGAAGTGGTCTGACTGACATACTGGAGAGCACCTGCATGCTTTTGAAGGCACAGATCATGACCTAGGACTAGATGAGTGACAGAAAATGGAAAAATACTTTTTTTGCCAACATAAGTCATTCCCACACTTTGCTTTGGGATAGACATCTGATCACAGAGGACTCTTCTGTCATCAAATCCTCCCTAGCCAAATACGGTCTAGTCCTGAAACTGGCTGAGGTGTGCACCCTCTAGCCTTAAAGTGGCCATTCGCCAACTTCGGAAACAAACATCTTCCATCTGGCCAAGGATATTTCATTGTGTTCTTTCTTTATATCAACTTGTGAGAACTGTTACAAGCAAAATATGAAATATGAGCAGTGAAAGCATCTTTTGCAATAAGCCTAAATGGAAAATAAGGCAAAAACAAACTCAGTGCAAATCACTTCCCCTTTATGCCTTCATTTCTTCATTATTCTTTGTTTTGCTTTTGGGGTTTGAAGTGTGTGTAGTAAGTGGAATGCTTAAAGTATGAGCTATTTTACTTTGCTTTCACTATGGACGTTGTTGAAATCCTTTAAAAAGAAAGTCCCATATCTTGGAAGACAAATAGCAAAGTAATTCTTTCTGCTAGGTAAGAAACTGTACCAGGAAAAAAAGTGACTGGGCCATTCTCATAGAGCAGTACTATTTCACATCAGAGAAGGAAGTGGTTAATGCCAGGGGTGATGTCTTCTTAAAAGAGGTGACTGGTACAGAGAAAAATAAATGATACTCACGTAGCTTAGTGGCAGAGCGAGGAAGGAAAATGTAACCCCGAGGAGAGCCATTCTGGAAAGAAAGTCACCAGTGGGGGTACGTCAGCTGCTTACCCAAGTGTCTGCATTGGCTTCAGCTCCACAGAGCTGTAAGCATTTGGCATGGGGACATGGGACGTGGTGCCTTCACACTTCCTCCAGACTGAGTACTTTTTTGGTTATTTTTCTCTTTACAGGAACCCAGACCTTTGCATAACAAAAGGTGCCAGTTTTATTCAAGTGGCATAGGATTCCTATATGATGCCTACCAGACAGAGGTAAACAAACTCACCTCATCACATGTTTGTTTCTGCTCTGCTTTGAGGGGCTGGGGAGGAGGGAGGCAGGTGTTTGAGAGCATGTCTGTGCATGTAGGTCACGGGTTGATAGAAATCCTACTGTTTTTTTCTCCCACAAGTGACTCCCTGCTTGACCAAGCCTCTGATGATTGATTGCAAATCATTACAACCAGTGAGGTTTTGAGTCATCATCAGTGTTTCTATCCAGTACATTACTCTGGGACTGGAATGATTCCTAGTCCATCTATACTGTATAATAGCTGTCTGGAATGTATTTGTCACATTGGCATCTTTCTCTAAGGAGGTTTTTGTAGACTTCAAGTGGAATAGGAAATATCTAAATGAATCTATTTGCATTGTCCAGAAGACTTAAAATCTTCTCTGTATTTATCCAGCACAGGCCAAGAATGTCAGCAGTTTGAATGCAGCTTTTTTATTATCTCAGTGACATTAACATGGTCGGAAAAGTGCCCATACCCAAGTGGCTAGCCTCCTGAGAAGTCCAGATTTAGTTTCTTTTCCTATTTTTCATTTTATTATTGTGGTAAATTGGTGAGAGTGAAAAGGAAATCAAGCAGAGCAGGATTGAAAACAGCTAAACAGTGGTATAACTTACAAGAAGCCAGATGTCCTTCATCACCATTCCTCCCATGGCTAAGAAAAAGTGTATGGGGAATGTTACCGTTAATAATTCTAGACAGCTTAGCAAAGTATATTACCAGGTTAAGCAGCTAATACTGCTTAAATCTTGCTGCTAGGGCACCCCTTTGTTGATTCCAGAAAATGTATGACAAAAATATTTCATTGACCTCCTCATGTAAAGAACTACCCAGACAAACTTACGATCTGTGACAACACCCTTTCCTCTAAGTTTTACTGCATCCTCTTCTAAAGTGGGCGTGCACACTCAGACAGAGATGGCCCGCGAAATGCTTCTGATTCCTGTAATAACTGTGTAGCTGGCGTCACACTGACCACAACTCCCTGCAGGTGACCCCAGCCTCGGGCTTCTGGCCAGACAGGTTTCCCCAGCTCTGCAGATTCTGGGAATGTCTAAAATTGGGCCACCCAGAGCTCCTTGCTCTATTCTGGCAAAACCTCCGTATCTTTTAAAAGTGTAGTTAGTTTGTAATAACATTCTTCTCTGGTTGTCCACTGATCTAGAGTCAGCGTGTGCGAATTCAGAGTTAATGATCCATGGCATCTGAACTTGGCTTTTGCTTTTCCAAAGTTAGCCGGCTAGTGAGCAGGGGACATACTCTGCATGCCAGGCAAACACCTAACTAGGAAAGCAGATTGTTTACTAAGTGCAAATCTCCTTTTGATTGCCATCTCTAGCCTGTGAGTGGTTTCCAGCTCATGTAGTTTGCCTGTTTCGGTTCTTCTCTTTGCTCAAAGCAGAAAGAATTTGATTTTCTTGCAATTACCATGAGGTGAGAACATATCTTCAATTGGTGCTGAGGGGATAGACAGGCACAAACAGCCAGAACATGAAAAAGCTAAATGTCTGGTCACTGAAATGAAATAATAGGTCTTGACATGCAGAATGCCCACAAATGGCCTGTTTTCACCACCCTTGCTCACACCACACAGTAATTTGTTTATTTTGGTTTATTCACTGTTCTCCTAAAAAGGAGTGTCTTGCTCTTTGCATGTTTTAAAAATGCAGTGATAAAAATAGACAACTACAGTAACTCCCTTGGCCAACAATATAATATGTCTTGTAGCCTAGAAGCAACTAAAAACATGTTTAAGATGTTGCCGATCTCCCTCTTTTGGACTTCTAGCCTTCTACAGTAAAAAGGGACAAACTGGCCTTACTGATGCTTGGAGAGGGGAAATCTACTTTTATTTCCTATCAATCAGAAGTGGTCCCCAAAGCTATGCATCAGAATAAACTACCTTTTTAGCAGCCCACTCCATCTTACGAAGCCCTCTGATCCCAATCATGCATGTGTAATGGGAAAAGGGTCTTTTAACTATGCAGGTCCTAGGCCATTTTGACTGCATACAGGGGGTCAAACCCAAAGTCTTAAGTTCCACTCAGTGCAAAAGCACTAGGGCGTCCCAACAAAATGGCTGCGGTAGTGGATGCATTGGCACACTCTGCTCCAGGATTAGTTTTCAGACTGCTTTGAGAAGTAGCCAGGTGTGGTGTTTCAGTCACTTCTGACCTGGTCTTGATTAAGCCGACACAGACATTGATGGTGGCACACTCCTCTTCCGCAGTAAATTGCAGCTCAGGCTGAGGACAGCTGCAGCTGAATGTGACTTCAGGCCAACAAAGCCCTTATGTGAAATTCCAGTAAGTTCAGACACAACAGAACAAGGGTCATGAAACGAGGTCCTATCTTTTTCGTATAACATAGAACATCACTAACATATTCTTGTGACAAGTGTGATGTGTCTGTATCAAGCTGTGAGCTCCATTTCCAGATTGCAACCTAGACTGAGACCGTCCTTTTATAACCTAACTTCCATTTTGGGTTAGAAGAGCTGATTTGTATGAGAGACTAACCACAGGTACAGCCTTGTCCTGCGCAGCAAAGCAATCCCAAGGCATCATTTTAACTTCCTTTTAACTTTAGCTTTGTCACCCAACTTCCACTGCTCAAGCAAATCCTGCTAAGGACAAGTGTGGCAAGTCTGAGACGAGCTGCAAGATGAACTTTCTCTGGTGCTGAGTGTGTGTGTTTAAGGCTTTCCTTTTTGCTGGGAACAAACACGTGAGGAGTACAGACTCATCAACAGTGGCAGTTTCCACACTAAAAAGGATGCACACATCCAGAACTCAGGAGCTGAGAAACATCTGGTTTAACATCTCCTGTGGAGACTATCCCACAGACTAACACATTCATGGCTAAGCAGAACTGTCTGACAGAAGCTTTTCAAAAGCAGGCATGTGTTCCTAAGCATGCTTCTACTTTTTCATTATGAGGAATTTTCCATTCAATAATGCATTTTATTTGCATTTTGTGAACAAAATACTTCTCAGTGGTTACAGTACATTTTTTCTATCAAAATAAAAACTATAGAAAGAATGTGTTTTCTGACTTGCTAGCTTTTAAAACCTGACAGTTCTCCAGGATTTCAAAGTCAATAAGCTAAAAATCTCAGGAAAAAATAGCCTTACATATAAAATATTTCAACTGGTCTGTAGTGCCAAATAGAAGTGATTAATGCTTACCACACTTAGGGAGTCATTAAAAAGATTTCTTGTCTGGATGGAGAGTGGTTTACGTGCCTACCTTTATTGTACTAACGTGTCCATCCCTGCAATTCCTGCTTACACAAATAAACCTTTTCAGTTTTCTCTTCAAGAGCCTGCAGTAAATGGTACTTATTTGCTGGAGTGCTTGGATCTTTTCTGAGCTTTTTTTTTGTGGGTTTGGAGATTGTTCTTCTTGTTGTTGTTCCTAATTATTTCCTTCTTCAGGAGGGTGTTACTGAAAGGAGAGCGCTCGTATTGATTGGATGCTGTTCAGACAAATTGGCTTCTTTGCCCATTTCCCCACTGCAATGGAGTGGTATTCTTATCCACTTTAGTGGCTTGCTGTGGTGTATCTCTCAGGACCCATGGTCCCTGCGTCACAGCCATAGGGATTCGCATCTCGCAGCTGCAGACTCTGGGTCTCGGCAAAATAGCACCAGGCAGTGCAGCAAAGTGCTTGAAAACTCTGGCAGCCCTGGCTGCAGGTCGGTGCTGGGGGCTCCGGGCTCCATAGTGCAAATGCCCTGAGACTCAGGAGCTGATGTCCTGCGTGAAACTCCTGGGAGCTCAGGGATGTCCTTCTGCCCTGCAGCCGTGGATTTTGGAATCTCAGGATCTTTCTGCACAACAGGTAATAAAACCTGACACTGCAGTAGCTGCTTCTTTGTGGTCAGTAGGATGATTCACACAACATTGAAACACTGAGAATAAAAGTCAGTATCTTCTTTTTTGGCAGGTGACTTGTTATACCTTAAACAGCAAGTGCCAGCTGAAAGTAAAGAGTAACACGTGTTATTGCTGCGACCTGTACAACTGTGAGAAGTAAGTACCTGTGTGCAGTCAATGGCCTCTGAGAAATCCTTGGTTGTTTGTCCCTCCTCTTAAATGATGGGGGCGGGGGTGCCCTTAGACCTGGAGAAGCAACACAAAGGGCTTGTATGCTGAGCAATCCAGTTCCTCTGCAACTGAAGTTCTGATGCCAGCAGAGAAAAGGTCAGGGGTTGCGTATTAGTGTTGGCATTATTTCAGTTTCTTTTTCTTTAAACATGTCCATAAGCTCTTTGCTGTGTGATCAAAATCGACCACTCAGTCAAAGCCCTGTCAAAATTTACTGTTGATCTTGCAATGCAATTTTCCCATTAGATTTAGTGAATCCTTTTTTCTTCTACCAAACTGGGGGAAACAAAATGAATAGGAACATAGGTGTCTATGAGCAGAGATCATGTTGTAGGCATATGCAGAGCTCTTTTTTGTTAGCAACAGCCTCTGTAGGCATGGGATTTTGCTAAATTGTCATAAGATAGATACAGAGGGTCTTGTGAGTGTTTTCTGAAGCTGCCATTTGACTTTGTCATTACCAAAGCATGAGATGTCAGAAGATAAGAAAGGAAATGTCTGGATATGCTTATGAAGATCAGTTGAAGGTTAGCACAGGGTTGCCATGCAGCGATTTAACAGGAGTAAAAAAGGTGGTTAGGAAAACTACAGCACAGCAAAGACCAAGGGTATATAATGTGGAAGACAGATGAAATGAACTCGCACAACTGACTGGCCACCTGGCACATAGAGATTCCAACTGCAAGCAGCATCATGTCTTGCCACACACAAGAAACTGGGGAGATTTCCTAGAGCAGATCTTCTGCCTGACTCATCCTCTGCACACCTCACTATCATCTTACCATGCACTCTCATGCAACGTCTGCAACCCTCTACAGTTCACCCACAGTCACTCTTCTTTCTTTCCCTCTATGTATTTCTCATCTTCCTTCCTTCCTGCATCTCCTGTTTTATTTTGGGTTTGCCTCCTTTTCACATGCTAGCAGCCCTGAATAACCCCAGTCCTCTGTAAGCCTTGGCTAGCGTGCTGCCAGACATGAACTTTGTATGTGTAGAGGAATGAGGCTGGCACAATGAGGCTTCTACACAAGGCTTCTGCATAAAAGAGTAGCTCTTGCCCAGATCCTCACTCAACTAGAGAAGCAAAATTAAATTTGGGACTAGAGGGAAGTCATCTATGCATACATATTTCTCATGCACACAAGAGACACAAAGTGAGTGCAGGTCTATGGAATGGGTTAAAATCCCCTATGAAGGTTAGAGTCTTTTGCTTGTGTAAGAAGTGTTAAATCTGGACATGATGGAAGTATGCAAAACAAGTGACATGGGAAAGGTAGAGTATGCACAAATTTGGTACCTTTTCTATGATAGACAAATGATGGAACATCATAGTTGCAATGCAGTATGTTTACACGGAGAATACTTTCTTCCATGGTGCACAACTGACTGCTGCACGTTAACACTGAGTTGAATAGTCCAACCCAATACAGAAAAGAACAGGGGTCTTAAAGGGGTGAAAGCATTCAGAGTTATCAAATAAAGTGACTGAAGCTTAAAGCACAAGGTAACAACAAGGAGAGATCAGGAATACTCCCCCTCCATATGGAGATCCTCAGTGCCATTTTTCTAAAAGACATTGGTTTTGTCTGGAACACCTGGGACTGATCACTGCTGTGACAGTATTCAATGATATAATTAAACATGTGTGTTCTGCCATTGTCAGCAATCCACAGTGGACAGCAAGATCTTAGGGCACTGGCATGGACAAATCCAGAGTAAAGAAGCAGTCTTGCTGCTCTACAGACTTGGCAATTCCAGTTCATAGGATGGCTAGAGAGAAGTAGGAGGAGACACAGGACACGAAGTGACTTGGTGTCAGCCATGCAATAGACCGGTATGCAGGCAGGATTGCAAGTCAGATTTCCTCAGCTCCATGGCAGCTGAAGCTATAGGTTTATTTAGTTAAGCAACGTCTGGGCTCATGATAGGGCCCAAGTGAACTCAACAGTAGCGGATCCGCAGTGCCAGAACCATGCCCCACAACAAATGATTGGACATTTCCAGGAATTACTGTGCTTGGCTTCGTTCTTCCCAGAGATGTTGTGGGTTTCTCCACACTGCTACCTTCCTCTGCAGAGCTTTCCCTAGCCACCATCTCCACTGCTGCCCCATGCGCTGAGGATGGAGGAACACAAGAGTGAGCACAAACTGCTCACTTCTGGTTTCCACCATAATCTGATGGTAATTTCCTAACAGTGCAAAAACAGACTTGGCATTTAAAAAATCTTTCCAACACAAATAGCTGCTCTAGGAGCTCATTAGTGGGCTAGCATTAAGGCAGGTACTGGAAAGAACTGCAGGAAACTGTGGTTTCAAATTGTGCAGTAGGATATTTCTGACTTCCGGCAAGACAATGAGGATTAACTTCACAATGCCTGATTTACAATAACCAGCGCAGTGTAGAAATGTGAACAAACAAAGATTTCTGGATAGTACAATCCATAGTGTAAAGGCTCATCTTCATACTGTACTGTGTTGCATCTGTTAATTTGGAACCACAGACACCATAAACAAATGTAGCCAGCTGGCAAAATCTCCCTTCCTGTGGTTGAATTAATGCTTAAGCAACTTGCCTTCCCCAGTTTCAGAGATGCCAGCAGATTTCCAGGTGAGCTGGGAAAAAAAGCAATGCTAAGCATGCCTTAGCTGGTAGCTAAAAAACAAGGGCAGCATCCATGTGCCAGAACTATGCCTGTGTTCAGAGACCCTGAGCAAAAAAAAAAAGAGTCCCTGCTGGTGCACAACACCGATCAGCCAAACTAGGGTTGGTATTAGTTGGACTACACGTTTAATGCTGGCATTAGCAAGCCAATTTTTGTCTACAGTAGAGCTTTCTCCAGTTCATCTGAGCAGTGTTTGGTGGGAGCATGGATGAAGTACTTTACCAAAGAGGAAAGTAAGCAGGAGGGATTCAGATCCTCTGGTGCTCTGTATTATGTACAAAACCATTCCCACTGCAGTGACATTGTCTGCATTCCCTTTCAGTTCAGAGCAGTCCTCCAGCTACTATGAATTTCTCGGCGTGAGCAGCTGTCAGGACGTGGTTCACCTGTATAAGCTGCTGTGGTCCTCCACAGTCCTCAACATCATTGGGTTGTTTCTGGGGATTATTACGGCAGCCATTCTCGGGGCATTTAAAGACATGGTAAGGCTCACAGTCTTTTGCCTTATGTGAGGACTTCTGTGCTTGTTGACGTTATCAAATGGGTTAAAACCAAGGAAGCATAAGTGTATGAAGGAGGCACTTTAAACATTTTTCCTGTGTGATCTGGGAGTCTGGAGTCATATCTTTAGGCTAAGCTGTTGCCAGCTGCTCACAGCTAAGTAGGTCAAGCCTGGTCAAATACATGAATGGAAGGGAAAAAACAGGCGTCTGTGGGAACAGATGCTGGCGATTCACTTAGTGACATCTTTTTTTTTTTCTTCTAATTCAGCACTGAACATGTGGGCCAGCACAGAGTTCAAGGATGCTAGTTTGTAGATAACATGTAAACCTCAAGTCCTACATGTGACTATTTAACCTTATGTAGTTCTTTTCCCAAGAATGGGGATTAACTCTGAAGTACCAGTCAAGTTTTTATTTAAACAGTTGTATTCGGGTCACATTAACCTCCTCGTGTTTCACTAAGGAATGCCACCCTCTAACTGCTCCCTGTGCCACACCACCATGTTGTGCTGATGTGCATCACTACATTCAGAAGAGGCTGTGTGCTACGAGGGATTCTGTAATAATACAGTGCCTCAACTGCCTAGATTTTCTGATATGTTAAAAGGGTGAAGTAGCTGTTCCTGGGATTATCACTGTCAGTGGTCATGTTTGCTAAAGCAGTGCCTAAAGACCTACCAAGTGGCTCATGATTTACTAGGCACTCAGAAGAGTAGATGGTCCCAGCCCAAAAAGCTTCCAAACTAAATGGGCAGAGGCATGGGGATGGAGGTGAAATGCAGGAGCCGAAGGGAGGTGTGATAGCAGCAGAGGTCATCTTAGATGTTTCTGGTGACTATTCCAGAGGAGAAAACTAAATAGAAAGACAGGTGAAAGGAAAGAAGAGAGGGATGGAGCAGGGAAGAGAAAGCAAGAGAGACGGGTGAGATGTACGCCGGGGGGGGCAGACTAGAGGGAAGGGGCTGGTCAGAGCTGGCAGCCAGTGAGCCAAGGACCCAGTCAGACTGGAGGCCATCCAGGCCCTGCTCTGACCACCCAGCGTCCCTTAGCAAGCATGTCCAGGCTATCTACAACGTGTTGGGTGCTTAAAACTATGTGACAGAGCAGGGCCATATGAATTATTTGAAATTCACCTTTGTTAAGAGTTGCAAAATGTTTGCTGGAAATATTCCTCTCTCTAGCTTAAGGCAAACGAGCACCTTGAGCTTTCGTATGTAAGAAATGTGCAGCTGAGCTGTCCTTTATGTGAGGGGGCTCTTGCAAGGAGTTGATAACAAATGGACTAGATGGCCTTTAAAGGACCCTTCCAACCCAAACTATTCTATGATTCTATGATTCTATGAAATTGCAGCTGGCAAGTGAAGAGTTGCGGCTGCCTGACGGGAGGGAGTAGAAGCAGCTTTCCCAGCTTAATTCATCCCCTCCCTGTGAGAGGAGCAATGGCAGAAGGGGAGCAGAAACAACCACAGTGGGACAAATGGACTAGATGGCCTTTAAAGGTCCCTTCCAACCCAAACTATTCTATGATTCTATGATTCTATGAAATTGCAGCTGGCAAGTGAAGAGTTGCGGCTGCCTGACGGGAGGGAGTAGAAGCAGCTTTCCCAGCTTAATTCATCCCCTCCCTGTGAGAGGAGCAATGGCAGAAGGGGAGCAGAAACAACCACAGTGGGAAACGAGGGGAAAAGCAGCTACATGAGGAGGGGAAGGCAGGCGTCATCTACAGCAAGTCCTTGGTAGAGCACTGCAGCTTTCCAGTGCTGCTAAGTATTTTCCTCTGCCTAGCAGATGGATGCTAGTGCCTCCACCAAGGGCAGCTGTGGGAGTTGCTAGTGCTCCCCTGAGATGGGGGTGCAGAGAGCCTGCCTGAGTCCACCTAATCTGTCTCGCACAAACCAAGGCTTACGTAGGATTTGGGCTGATGCTTCGTAGCAGGACGAGCTCCAGCCCAGGCAGACCTCTGCGCTGCGCAGGGGCCATTGCTGCATTGCTCGCGAGGGGCGCCAAGCCGAGGAGACATTCCTGGGAGAACTGGGGTCTCCATGACCTGGCACGTTCCCTTGCTGGGAGGCAGAGCCTGGGTCAAGGTCTGGGTCCTCTGACTGGGCGGCATAAAGCCGTGCAAGGAAATCGCAGCAGCTGTGGACGTGCAGCTTCCCCCCAGGCTCAGCTGGAGTGAGTCTGTCAGGGCTCCAGCTGAAAACCTGATCTGAATAAGCTGTTTAATGCCTCCTCTGCAGCGGGAACGGAAAAGAAACCCTCACTAGCTTAAGGGAAAGATGAGTTTGTGTCAGTTACCTCAGCACAGGAGCCATGCTATGCTTGTGAAGTGTTACTAAAGCAGCGATCCAAAATGCAATGACCGCTCCTTGCTCCTGCCTGTGCTTTTTCAGGGTCCTTTTGAGTGACGTACCAGAGCTGGTTTGCTAATCTGCTGCTCGCTTTCGTTACGAAAGGAGTAACTCTTGGGGGAAGACGGGGCCAAGAAAACATCAAGCAGAAGAAGGAGAGAAAGGGGCATGGGACTGAAATAAGAAAAAAACCCTTCAAAATGTGTGGGAGAACAATTTTCTTTCTTTCAGGATGTCACCTTCCCACAGAAATGCTCACTGGCATTTTGCAGGGAGAGCTGCAAAGCCCACTGAAATGCCTCAGGGCATTGCTCCGAGATTGACTTCCAGAAAACACAGGGCCAGGCTGACTAGTCAAACAAAATCATCATGTTTATCTCTGGGGAACGCTGGAAGCCAAAACATGTTACAAAGGGCAGTGTTTGCAAAACAGTGCCGTTGCCTCTAAACCCATCGCATTTCCTGGACAGAAAAAAAAGAAGTGTTGTTTTGGTTGTTGCAGGTTTTCTTTCTTGTGACAAATTCCCTGCAGACCCTGGCACGCTCCCCGTGGTTTTCCTGCCTGCCAGAGGGCTGTGCTGGCTCAGTGGGAAATATTTCGTCCTCTCCCGACCCCCAAGGTGTCAGCTCTCAGTGGCCCCCGTGTCACCCGTGAGGCCGTCCGCTGTGATCTGCTGGGTGCTGGGGGAGCTGCAGTGGTTACAATGGTACCCTCCTTTTCAGATCTACAGTGTGCTTGGATATAGGACGCCGGCTAGGCAGTTACCTTAAAGTCACCTTTAACAAAAAGCAGATTAAGATACAATGTAAATAGAAGTATGTACTTGGAGTATCAAAAATGGTAAAACACAGTGATTATTTCTCACAGAAGAGAGAGGTAAAGAAATGCATGGAAAACTTCACTTGCTGTAACTAAGAGTTAATCTAGAAACTCCTTTCCCTGCCCCAGTATTTGTCTGATGACTTGTAGATGTTTTCCTGACACACCTTGCCAAGGAATCTGCCTGCCCTGAGTTTAGGGTTGCATTAATCAGAACTACTGATGGTCCTGGGGGTCTTGCTGGCTTTTTTTTTTTTTTTTCAGTTAGTCTCCTTCTTGGAGTCCTTATGGAAATCTGAACAGTTTAAATATCATTCCCTTATCCCCTCTCCTCTTCCCTCATCCTTCTCTAAAAAGGAAAACAAAATGAACCCCTAATTACTGAGCTACTTGCCATGCGTTCATGTCTTAGCACTCATGCAACTAAAGGTGCAGTCTGACGTTAAAAGTAGTCGTAGCTCAGAAAGAAACGCTTTGGCAGGTCTGTGTCAGACCAGTGAGCTGACCTGCCTTGCTCTGCAGCCACACAGCCCAGCACGCAGCGAAGCAGCGGCTTGCGTGGCCAGGTGGGGGGCAGCCAGACAGCCCCTCTGGCCGCAGCCTGGTTTCCCCACGCTCCCTGACCTGAGGTGCCCGCATGGCACTGGCAGCGCTCCATGGCCAGTTCACAGCTCCTTATCTCTTTGACTTGGGTGGTGTTTCAGTTTAAAATGTCTCCACCTACCCTTGTATTTTATGTGACTAATTTAACATAGTGTCATTACTGGAGTACTTGATAAAAGCATCTAACCAGCTTCAATACCTGCAAATCGTTGCTGGCTCCAGGCTGAGACCAGATAGCCTGATAATAAGGTGCTTTGATCAGTGGATTTGGGGTGGATGACTCCCGAAAACTGTGTTCTAGGACTGTTGTGATGTTCATTCTTAGCAATTGGGGAGAACTGCTGCTACGGATGGAGAGAACGTTAAGAGGACTGAGAGGGGTTCCTGGAAGGACAGCAGCCCTCAAAGGGACCCACACCAGAAAGTTGGTGACAGATGCAGAGCAGGCATCTGTGTTTCACATTGGGCAAAACAAGCATTTCTTGCCACATTTACGTCCATAGCCAGAAGGATCTGATTGCGCCAGACCTTCCCTCCTCCGAGGAAGGGCATGCTCCGGGCGCGGGCCCAGCCCTGGCTGGGGTGGGCCGTGTCGCTGGCCCCAAACCTTTGGGTCTGAGGCAAGCTCGTTAGCTGCTTCTCGCTACTCCTGTCTGAAAGGCAGTGTCTCTCCGTTTCTCCCCACCATATCCACCCAGCAGGGTGGGTAGAAAGGAGGTGATTTGAGGAGGGTACCTTGAAGATGAGAGACTTGTCTTCTCCCTTGAAATAGGCTCTCTGCTTTCAACCCCAGACTTTCTCTGTGCCAGCTCCTGGGGTGCTAAGCTTCTCCAGAGAGCTAAGGCCTAGGTTGTCAGGTAACCTCATGTGGGACATCAGTGACCTAGATGATGTTTTCCATGTACAAACACAATTAATATACCTCTTTCTCAATCACAAAAAGATCTCGCACTATCTCCAGAGGATGCAGTGGTTTATGTCTCTCACTGATAAATCTGAAAGGAAATGCCAAAAAAAAAAAAAATCCTGGCTGCTGCTTTCAGCATTTGTCTGGCAACCACCGTATTTTATTATTTCAGTAAAAAGAAAATTCCATGCTCTCATGTAGAGGAATCTGCTGATAAAAACAAAGGAGAGAAAAGAAACCACTGGATTTGTCTCGCTTTGCAAAGTAGAGGGACATGAAAATCTTTCACAGAGCTCTACTGTCCTTCACAAATGGTTATATAGCACAGGGGTTTAGGGTTTAACACAAGCCCCCTTTCACAATTAGCTTTTGCTCTTTTTTTTTCTCCCCCAGTTGTACTAGCTGGTTTAATATGAGCTATTACTTCCTGCAAACCTCATCTCACATTGCAGTTAAGGGACATGCCAATAAAGCCACAGGATATGATGAAGGATTTTATGCAGTAGGAATGAGATATGCACATACTGGCCACCCAGCAGCAAACTCCATTTCACAAGTGAGAGGGAGCTGTGAAGGAAGAGCAAGTGGTCTGGAAAGGGAGATCTTTGTAGATCTGTGTAGGAAAGCAGAGAGAAAAGACGTGAGGGCATCAGGTAGTTGCTATTGGAAAGAGCCTGTAGCAAATTGTGAAGGACTGGGTGTTTGGTGCTGGAGTGGATAAGAAGAGGCAGTCAAAGCTGTAGGCTGTGCTCTTCAGGATGTCAAGGGTCTGGAGTCCTGCCAATGCTTCTGTAACTGGTGCTAGGGAAGCACCAGCAGTCTTTTTCCAAGGGAAGAAGATTAAAATAGCTGTGTATTTCTGGTCAGAAGATTCACTCCAAATACACCCTCCTCTCATTCAGTCTGCTCCTTCTTTTTTTTGTAGTACCGGTATTGGTGTTGGAAAATAGAAAGTTGTTAAATTGCCTAGTTGCTTGTGTTAGGACCAGTTCCTGCTCCAGCCCGCTCTGCGCTGTGCTGATACATTGTTGTCTTCTGTGCTCAACAGGTACCTCTGTCCCAAATTGCTTTCAGTGCTGCACCTCCTCCTCAGATCCTGTACAATCCTGCCCAGCAGATCCTGACATACACTGGGTTCTGTCCTTCTGCAGCAACTATTTCTACATATCCATCCTACCCGTTACCTCTTCAGGTACAGTACAAAATGGCACCCTTCTTACTCCATCAGAAAAGCATAAGCTGCTACTCAGTACAAACTCTGCAGCGGTATATCTTGGCTCCTGGGGGTTTGAAACGAGGCAAAGAAGTTGGATCCCAACTCACAGACTCGTCTCTGGGACGACTTAGTCTGGGCCTAGTTGTTGGGTCTGTTCTCAGATCTCAGCCTTTCTCTGGTTATCCTTTGGACTCTGTCTGCTGACCAGGAATCCCAGTGTGGGATTAGAGCTGCGCTACAGTAATCATGAAGGTGAACACAGCCCCCATGTTGGGCAAGATAAAGCAGCAACAGAGGCATTGGGGAAGCCAAAGGAAGCATCTGATACACACAGGATTTTGCAGGAAAATTTACACACCTTACCCCACCTTACTCTTAATTATGGAGATAAGTAGATTAGGACTCTTCAGATGGAAAGGAGACAAGAAAGGGGAGGAAATAAGAGGGCTGTGAAACTGAATATGGAAAGGATTGTGGATGGATATTAGTGATAACTTCTTATCACACAAAGTTTTGGTTGCCCCAGTAAAGCTATTAGGTGGCAAGATAAGCCAGAAATAGGAAGTGTTTTTACACACCAGAGAAGATTCAAATGCCACAGGATGTTGTGGAAGAGTATAAATGAGGGGTTAGGAACATCAGCTGCTGTTAAATACAGGGATTCAGGTGTCACTTGCAGCCCAGCAAGTCCCCAAATGGCTGCCTGCCACAAGAACCAATGGGGGCTCATCAGAAGATGGACCCCTTTTTCTTTTAGCTTCCTATAAGCATCTATTACAGGCCACCACTGGGAGACAGGTACAGAGCTGCTATGGCAGTTGGTGGAGGTTGCTGAGCCTTACTGACCAGAGGCAGCTGGCCTGAAGGCAGGAGAGAAAACTGTCAGAGGTGCAGCTTTCTCCCCTTGCAGGAGGGCATACAACATGAGCTGAGTCAACACTGCTTCGCCTCCTTCAGAAGGATGAGGTGCAAGTCGTGCTCCAAGCCTGTGCTGCGTCCAGCCAGAGCTGGCCTGGAAAATGCAGGGAGTGGTGCTGAGGATGGTGTTTGCTTTTTTTTTCCCCCCAGAGTGAGGTGAAGAACATAGGGTGAGCTGGTAAATAACTGAATGTACTGAGACCCTGGAGCAATCATAGGAGTTTTTAGATTTTTTTAAAGCACAGTAAGACTGTTTTGTTCCATCCAATGGCTTGTTATACTTTGGCTGTGTAGTGCTAGACCAGTGGGTACCACAAGTTTTGCAATACTTCTTAATCGAAAACACTGCATGTTTAGCATGAACTAGCTGTGGACCAGCTCCCCACAGCCTCCTGGGCCAATAAGCTACCAGGCACAAGTACTGGGACATGATGACCATCCACAGCAATGAATTTTTAGCGTGCTCCTGGTATGGGTTTGGCCCAGGCCACCTAACAGTCTCCCAGCAACACTCAGGAAGGGGTCAGAAGATGGCAAGGGCAATGGACCATTCCCGGTAGGTAGTGTGCATACAGTCACACTGGTTTGGTGGTAAGAGTTCAGCTGCAGAGATGTGATATGTGGTGTGCCAGTTGGCTTCACAGCCAGAGAACAGTCCTTGGCACGTCTTACTTATTAACATAAATGGGGCCAGGCACTTTTGGAGACCACGGGTTGAGAGGAAAAAAAGAACATCTCTTTTTGTTTGCTTTTAGCTGAAAAGCTGTGCTGTTCTGCAGAGTTCAGTTAGCATGTAGCCAAGAGTAGAGAGAGAAGGGGATAAAACCAGATGAAAGAAAGCGATTAAGCTGAAAAGATGCATGTAAGTAGTCATGAGGATCAATTGTAACTGTTCAGTCCTGTGTCCACTGAGAAACAGAAATACATCATATTTTCCCCAAATTCTTAACTGCATTCCAAAATAAACACAGTTCCTTTCCTAGATTTCTGCTTTTTCTAAGAAGTGTGTTCATTTGTCTTCTCTCCCCTTCGTAACATTCAGAGGCAGATGCCACCAGCTGTCCCCAAGCCAGGAGAGGTTAGCGAGAAGCTCCAAAAAGGGAAAGCGCTTAATCCTTTTCCTGGGCCTGGGAGGGGAAGCAAGCCACCTTCCTGCCTGTATGAGCTCATTATCTTGTAGTTTGGAGAGAAGTAATTTCTGCATCAGTATATGAGTTAAAAAATCATAATAAACTTACTCAAAGCTACAAATGGTGAATGTTAGAAGCAGGCCCGATTAGGAACAGCCAGAAGCTTAACCGTCATCCGCTTCCATTACTTGAGAGCTGTGGGCTAAATCCATGGGGCTGGAGGTCTTCATGACCCATCTAAGTGCTCCAAGCAGTGCCCAGCTGCTGGATTCAGGCCTTCACAAGCCCTGCTCAACTGGTCCTAGTCCTTAAGGCATCTACAGGCCCTGGGGCTGGGATTCATCTGGCTAAATGCAGGGGCTTGTTGGCACGTAGGGATCTAGTGCTGCCTGACAATGAGATCAGGTAGCCACCTAGCCCCTGCTGCCACTGCGGGAGGGTCCAGGTCCTGTAGTCCCTGCATTACGTCTGTGTGGATGTCTGGGATATCCCATGGCATCCCAAAAGGGCTGGACACTTACATGTGGGCAACTGAATTGAGCTCTAGCTGTCCATAGTGTAGGAGACCCTGCCTCAGCTGGTCTACCCTTTAGAGTCCACAGAGGGAGCCACATGTAGATTATCTCAAGCTAAAGATGTATGATGCGAGTGCTACGAATGCACCCTAAAGGCCTTTCCACTGACTAGGGGTGGGATTCAGTTGCTACATGTCACTGCTGTGCGCTTAGATATCTATGTTCTGAAGCCTTCAACTGAGACATCAAAATCTGAGGCTGAACCCTGTATCCTAGGGGTGCAGTTCAGTTGCCTAAAGATATGGCATCTGAGGTGGCCTAATGTTCGCAAGACATCCATACAGGGCTGCTGATGTGGGCCAAGGTCTACATGAGACATGTATTTCTGGAGCAGCTGGCAGAGGGTGCCCTTGGGCATCTCAAAAGGCATAATGTTTTGCTTCCACAAAGACCAAGATCCACCTAAGGGCCCCAGGACGCACTTCTCTTCTCAGCGTTCCCCTTGGCTCGCCGAAGCTTTGGCTAAACGCTGTTCCTAAGCTCCTGCATTTCACACTGCCCTGCACCTGCCCCCAGTTGGGGCAGGGTCACACACGTGATGGTTCAGTACAACAAAAGGAGCAAAACCTTCTTCAGCTAAGTGTTAGGGGAAAAAAAAGTGAATTGATGCCAGTTAATGAAGTACAGCAGTTAGCAATCAATTACCAACTAGTAACTCTAGTTTGAAGCCTCACCTCAACCAGAGGAAATCCACAGCCATAGTTCCTCCTCCTGGGAACATATCCCACTTTGGGTTAGTCTGGCACGCAACATGCCTAGCCTAAGAGCTGCCCCCACTTGCATGGACTGAAGCTCCATTAGCTCAAAGGCTATGAACCTGAGTTCACCTGTGGCTCCCACCATTGAGCAGATTAATTCCTAGTCCTCTGCTGAATCCAGTATCTCACTGAATAAATGCTTGCTGGAGAGGCAAAAAGTCTTTAAAAAAATCACAACCTGAGCTGGTGGGAAACGCTCCGCAGTTCATCTCATGCTTCCTTGTCCACAAACAGAAATCAGCCAAATGCAAAAAAGAAAGGGTGATAACAGGAATGCATTTTGACAAATATGTAACCAGCATTTCTTTCGTTTACTGTGGCATGTGCTAACAAAATCATTCATCCCTTACTGGTACAGTTCAGTCACAACTAGTCTGGTAACAGGCCTGCCAGCTGGTCAGGTAAATGATTAGCTGTGCAGGGACTGGTGGTGATGACAGCAGTAAAGGTTGTGCCAGTCATTCCTGCCAGAGGAGAACTCATTACAGGAGCAATTCCAGGCAGACAGATGGAAACAGTGGCTACAGTTTGAGGGGGAAGGGAAGCAACAACTCCAAAATAAATAAAAAAACCCAAACCACCCAAAACCCCAACAACTATGTTTGGAGCTGCTCTAGCTAGCAGGTCTGTCAGTATACCTGCACTGCCTCCTGGAGAGTTACAGGGCATAATCAACCTTCCTGTCAGGACATCCCCATTCTCACTCACTAAGTCTCCCTGTGGTACAAATGCAGGACAACATTCTCCTTGCCATGGAGTTTGACCCAGGGCAGGAGCCCCTGCCGACCCGGAGCCCCACAGAGAAGCCAGGCACCGTGGCATGGGGTCTGCCAGCCCTGGGCAGCTCTGAGATGCCATTGTCCAAGTGCCAGCCCTGGTACTGGCCTTCTAGGTGGTGACTATGAAATTTTTTAGCAGCAGGGAGCAGCATTTACTTGCCCAGATTTTTCATTTCCCTTGAAAAAGATTCATGATTACTATTTTTTGTTTTGTTTTTTAAATTCCAGGCACTTTAGGCCTGAACCTGAGGGGAGCTGAGCACAACTCTTCTGATGAAGCCCATGGACTGGCATGTGTTGGCTATGAGGGGAGGAGTGAAATCCTGACCCTCTTGAAATCAATGGCAAAACTTGGTTTAAAGTAGTGGTAGGATTTTGTCCAGAACATTAGTCCCTACATGCATTCTTTTGTTTTAACAAACTCTGCTTGTTCCTGAACGTGGGCTGCTTCCTAAGCTCTATCTATTTTTTGTGCATCTTTCAGCCAAAGGCCCATTATAGCTGAGACAGCCGAAGTGAAAGACCTACAGGGAGACACATGCCTACCTGTAAAATTTTCTCTTAAGAGGAATCTGTATTTGGCATAAGACCCTGCATTTATGCAAGTATTATAACTGAGATTAATTACAGCTGAGATAATTTAAATTTCACAGCGATGCCTGGAAACGAGCAGCTACACGTAACCTAATCAGCCAGTCAGGTGCAGTGCCTCACCCAGGAAGCCAGAGCATCTTTTCCTGCAGAAATTCCTGTTCTGCTCTATTGCCCAGCTGTATGCGCAATGTCTATTAAAAGTGACTTGGGTTACAGATGGAATCTGTCTTGTTTCACTAGAAGCCATCATTGCTATACTTAAGCAGGTGCTTTAAAACTGAGTGTTGTGCTGCAATGCATGAGAAATTTAATCACGGGGCTTATTATATAACAAATATAATGGCAAACACTTAACGCAGAGCTACAAACGGGGTTGTAATCCTTTACTGAAGAAGGTATTTTTCTTTGTCTATATACAGCCTGCCAGCAATTTTCCAGGAACATCATCTACTGACATTTCTTTATCAGAAGAAACTCAACCTCCATCTCAGTCCAGCTCCAGCTATGGTCTTCCCCCCAATGCTCCAGCCCTCTATACACCGACTTACTTCGTGCCTGGAGAAAAGCCTCCACCATATGCACCATAGAACAAAGAATTTATTTCAGGTAGCTGGTAGGCTTTTATTTTGTTTTTAAGAAACCTCTGGAAAACTGTGCTGTGCAGGCACTAGACTTCCCAAGGAACCCACCGCAGAGCGTGTTATGGCCACTCTGCTTTTACCTGCATCTCACTGTGAGCAGAACAGAACCCTGGAAACGTAAGGGCAGGCACATCACCAGTGGGGTGACCAGTCACCACCAGTTTGCCTGCGGTCAAATGCAGTGCTGCTTTCTGGCTACTATAAGCATGAGTTTTTTCCTTCTTCAGCTTCTGGAGAATGATTTTTCTTCAAGAGGAGAAATGAGGAAAGCATCCCAGATACATATTCTGCTCTCATAAACCGATATAGAGGGGTTTTAGCCTGTGTTGTCTGAGTGGGTATTCTGAAGCTCTCCGAGTCAATAATTTTGGGTAGGAAGAGACCAAGTGTTTGTTTGCTTGTAGTATTTATTTAATAACCCTTTTTGGTGGAAGTGTTGTACCAATAAAAAAAGTGTGGCAATTATTTTACAATAAAATTCACTGTGTATATTTATACTGTACCTAAGGCTGTGTATATTTGTAAGGACAGGAAAACAAAAGAACAGAGGAAAAAGTACCCTACCGAATAGCTCTCTCTTTCAAGTTTCAAACAGAAAGGTTAATTTTATTGGGACTATTTTATCCAAACTTTGTGCCAGTCTAGTCTGCATAGTAAAATGTCATGTCAGTGTGCTAAAGATGCAATTTCCAGACTGGTATTTAAGCTGCACTTTAGTGTTCAAATTAATTCCTTATAGTCAAAAGAGGACCACAACCAAAACCACTCTATGTTAAACCCCAGTTATTTGTTTTTAAACTGATCAAGACCTGATCCAAGCATTTTACGACGACTGAAACAGAACGGATGAAGGTAGCAGTGCCATCAACAGGAACAAAGTCTTGTCCCTGTTGTGTGCACCCTGCCCCCTTGCTGTGCATCACATGAGCTGGGATCCCTCTTAGCCCATGGCTGCCATATTTTGAGGCAGGAGTGGCTATACCAGCATGAAAACCCATCAGACTGCTCCATCCCTTCACTGCATTTTGCTCCTGCAGGAAGGGTGGTGCTGCTGCTTGCTCGCTCTATAGATCTTAACAGTCTAGACAGCAGTGAAGCTATAGAAATTTCCTGAAAGGCCAAAAAGCAAAGCAGGGAAAGGAAGGTATTTCTCATTAACTTTTTAAGCAGCTGCTTCATATTATGAAAATATAAAAAAACCCTATATAAACAAAACCAGGCTGCTTGACAGTTTCCTTTGAAAGGAAGTGACACCATCAGACCAGCTGAAAACAGAACAAAGAATGATCAGCTTTTTACATAGTGTTTTCCACCTTTCAAGAAATTTGTTAATTTATGTGTTGTACCTCTATGTGTAAAAAGCAGATTCAGTACTAATACACATAAGATCAGAGGTTAATTTATATGGACAGCAAAAACCATGTTTTGTTCAATTAAGAAGGATTTTCTGAGATGCAGAGTTCTAGACCAGCGATGTTAACATCAGTGACAAGTTGCCTTACATGTATTGTTGACAAGGTGAGTTATATGAACCTGGTTAAGAGAAACAGAAGTCAGAGAGGAGACGATTATTTTTCCTTTAAGCATTAATTTAACACATCCAAAATGCTTAGTTCTTGTGCAAATGCATGCTGTGAAGAGCACAATCACCCTGATCAAGAAATGAGCGGAACTACAAATTTGCTTTTTTGCTCACTATGAATACTTTTTTACTCACTATGAATACTACCAGGGGGACCACCAGGGTTCATTTTGGGGATTCAAAGCCCAGAACAGACTTGCTCCCTTTGAGTTGAGCACCTAGACTGCTAATAGAAAAAAAAATAAATCAATATTTCTCTTGGGTCGAAGCACAGTGACTGAGGAGGAATGAAGGAATGCTTATCACTTTTTTCCTCTTTTCAATGGCATATAGAAGCAGCTGCCTCTTCCTCCAGCGTGGTACTGCTGTAGGGTATTAAAAACAATCCAGCTTGACACAAAAGACCCCCACTTTCTCTAATTCCCCAGACTTACAAACTCTGGCTTTCTCTTCTAAACCACATTTTGGGTTTGGGGGCATTGTGGTCTATGCAAAATATCTTTGCATACATGCACACATATGCACAGTCTGGGAGAAATTTTTGCTCTGAATTAGACTGGTTTAGAAAATGGAATTACAGTCTTTTTTTCACATAATATGAAGTCTGAAACTGCAGCGTACCACACTGTACCACAGGATTCACGTTTCCAGAATCCAAAATAATTCTGGCCTCATAAACAGTACCACTTACATTAACACAAAGGTCAGACGTGTTTGTGATTCATTTATGCCACATGGAAGTTTTTTGGGAACTACCACAGAAATTATACGAAAATGCCAGACATAAGACTATTTTGCTAACGTGCTTCCTTTGAAAAGAACAAAGTAAAACAGGGTTTGTTTCATCTACTTGGTTTAAAGAATAGTAGGTGTCTTCCAAGTTTGTACTGTTTTCATTAGAGCTACTCCAAGTTAAAAAGATGGGAGATGTATTTTGGTAAAGGACTAAAACAACCATGAAGAACACACAGAAAACAAAACGCTGCAGTGTGGAAGTGCTATTAACCACAGTATCTTCAGGATCCCTGGCTCTCACTGGAGATACTAAACTAATGTTTCTTGGGTTCTCCATCGTATCACAAGTTGATCCAGAGTCATCAACTCTAACAGAAAGCACTCTCAGGAATAACATGGTTTCCCTTGCTCAATAAAAAAAAGCAAAACCATAGAACTACTGGGTTTTCCTAGCCATGCACACTCTGCCAATAAATTATTACTGTCTAGTGAGTGTAAAGAGTCTTTTGACAGGTCCTCCTGTAAGTGTAAATGAGTAGGTTGGTTGAAAGCGGTAAAGCTCTGGTCTTTTCTGCCCTACTGCATTACTGCTGCCTAATTTGGTCATGATACGGAGCTATGATGTCATGCTGTCTAATGGCTAAGAGAGTACCCTCCTCTTCTCTGCTAAATAAAACAGGGATCCTTACCAGCAAGTATGTTTGGGATAGTCTTCTCCCTCTTCCATCCTTTCCTCTGGGACAGTTATATCTCCACAGCTTGGTCACAGATGTTGTTACAGGTGTGGATTATTAGGCTAATCTGTCATCTCCGTATTTGACTAGGCAAAGCATGACGTAGAATGACCAGGAACAATTTATAAAAGATTAGGATTAGACATTTTCCATGTTAACCCTCTGAAGCATAGGGTAACCTTAGGCACCCAGTATTTGGATTTCCACCACAGCAGATACCTGTCCTTCTCAGTTCATTAATCTGATGCAAGACAAGGACGAAATAAAACAAGATTTAAGTGCCTCAAAGCAGGCTAGGCAAAGCCCACCCCAGCTTCACAAGGATAGTTTAAAAGCTGAATGCACTTTATGGCTTTACAGCCTCTCCCGAGTAAACCCACACGCATATTCTCACCACACTGCAATTCGGCCTGGCTAACTCTCACAGTCTCAAGCCTCTCTGCTCCCACTAGGCTCACAGTGAATGAGGCAACCTAAAAATTAAGCAGCAAAAATATGTCATTGCCAGATAATATTCCCCAATTCTTGACACCTCATCATTTGCTTCAGCGGTTATTGACACAAAAGCCATATGGCTTTCAACTTATTGAGTCTTTTCTTCTAATTGTTTCCTGCTGACCCAATTTTGCTTCCCATTTTCTGTTGACCAAGAGCTTTTCTAAAGGTCACAATTGAGTCTTCTATCTGTGGTACCAGAAAGAGAAACTCTAGCAATAAGAATAGCAGCATCCATTTGCTCTCCAGCCCAGAAGATATATAATACTGACATAAGCACTTAAAACCCCCCACCTCCAAACAAAAAAACCCAACCCCCCCCGACTAGTGTAATCTCCACATCAGGCATAGCCTGCGTCATTACCTCCAAACAACAGAATACAGAATAATTTCATTACAGATGAATTAAAAACTTGTAATCTCCACATCAGGCATAGCCTGCGTCATTACCTCCAAACAACAGAATACAGAATAATTTCAGTACAGATAAATTAAAAACTTGTATGTAAATATTTTATTCTCTCATATTTTGCAAATCATATAGCAGTGTTTGGTAATAAAAAATAATACAGAATTATTATTTTTCTTCCAGTCCACACTCATATATTACCAGATTTTCCGCATTACAGATAAAACTGTCTCTTACAGTCTAAAGATAACATTCACTTTAGGTATATTCTGTACTTTTGGCTTATTTAATATTAGTCTTCTGAACTATTTACAAATATATTACAACCTTTAAACCTCAAAGCAAAGGAGTATTTCAATAATCAATCTGACATAAGGATCAGTAGCTCCTACATAACTTCAGTGTTTAAGAGAAACTATACACGCAGTGCGGTAGGTCTGAATAATTTATATCTTTAAAAAAAAAAGAAAAGCATTGAAAGTTTCTGACTATAAAACTTTCGCATTGCAGTGGTACCTACTGACCCGCCTCAACCGGAGGACAGGAATGTGAGGTGATGTCACTGTGCTTGTAGAGAGCCTCGTCTAAGTCCAGTGCCTTGTTGCTCAGCCTGACGGTCATGCAGCCGTGGTAGGACGCGGTGACCGGAGTGGAAGTCACAGGAACGTCTGTGTGAAAGGGGAGACAAACATCTCTGATGCCTGGTTTTGAATACAGACCTGTCCTACCCATGCTCAGATGAGCATCACTTCAATGAATTCAAACTCTCCTCTTCTCCACTCTGTGATTTCTACCTACCCCCCGGCCCTCTCAGCAGAAGGCAGGAGTACAATCCCAGACATGGGGAAAACGCCATCTGCTCTCGTGCACAAAAGCCCTTCTCCCAGGCTGAACCCTTCCTCAGCTGCTCTGTGTCTCTGCAAGGCCTCCAGTCCTGATGAAACTATGTGCTGCACAGCAGCAAGGCTTCACTCCAGTTGCACGCTGTGTTCACGCTGCTTTCCGTCTCGACGTGTCCCCCCCCCCCATCTCTGAACCCTCCACTTCGTCTTTAGTGGAGTTGTTATACCTTCCTCTAATGCTCTCCCTCTCTCTCTTCAAAATATCTGCCAAGAGGTTACAGAACTTCATGACGGGAAGGCTCCTCCTGTACGCAGCCTCTACCACTTGCTGCACTCATCTTTACTGTTCTCTGATCATGCACAAGGAGGCTGCTGGCATTCATCAGAAAGGTGCTGGAATACATCAGTTGAGTTGTAAGACTAATGAGACTAATTTTTTCTACAGAGATCCACTGGTGACATACTTTTGATCAGTTTACCAGAGGCAGAAAACAAATAGCAAGGAAGAAGACACTAAGTACAGTCCA